TGTATGTGTGTATGTATACATATGTATTTGCTCTTGGTTACATGCCGAACGCCTGGGCATTGTTGCCATCGAAGAAGGACAGCACTCGTCTCTGCGCTGAGCGAATTGCTCTGCGAAGGATCGGTGGCATCGTGGCATCTGCCGCTAGCTTGGAAGGACAAACTCTTACTTTGGGCGTCGGTTTACGGTTTAGGCTATCCTGCCTGGCAGTTGAAGCTACCCAGAGGTTGCATGAAAGTTCATGTCATGCATGGGCCCCAGCATGGGATGGAACGATGACTCATCAAGCACGATACGGCTGCAGGGTGCACTTCGGATCGAGCTTTGCCTTCGGATCGAGCTTTGCGGATTCACACAGTTGCAGGACCAGTCCCCAGCAGCTCCAGCAAACTAGCAGCGCACAAGCTCTCTGTGGTGCGCAGCCCGGACAAGCTGGTGATGGGTGTCCCGCTTGCCTTAGTCCACATGGCTCTTGGTTCCTATAGGGGTTCCAAGCGGCTTCAAGGCAGACTGAAGCGCAAAATTGACTACAATCCGTGCGTGCGTCTACATCAGACTGGGCAATCCCAAGGCATTCGGTCTGCACATGAACAGAGGGCCGAAGTTCATCGGACCCAGACGCAGATGCCCTGGCGGGCCCGCCAGGCCCTCTGCTATCATGCGAACTCTTGCAGCCGCACCTCTGAAAAGTCACAAACACACACATACAGGGTCGACACTCCTTTCCACTCGCTCGGAGATAGGGCCGCTTTGCTGGCCAGGGCGTTTTGTCTATGATGGTCTATGCTGCGCCGGGGCACAAGGGGATCATTTGCAAACAGCCGACGGGCTGAGTTAAAAGATTTCAATCATGCAGCACCGGCTGAACCACAGGTGCCTTGCATGCATGTATAATTTTGAAATCGATATAATTGAATAAGGCGGGCAGGGACCATCTGCTTAGTCCGGCTTGCCGAAGCTCGCAATGAGTATCACTCCAACCTGACATTCGCCAGTCACAAGAGGTCTCGGACGAAGGAGCTTCTGACTTCTCTGAGCGCTCAGCCAGTTGTAGAAAGAAGGCACCAAAGTAGATCATCAGCTGCCGTTGGCCGGTGATCTCGCGGAACCTGATGCCGTCAACTGAAGCACCGGTACAGGAAAGCCGCCGAGGCTCAGTGCCGCAGTCACACTCTCAATGAGGCCCCGGCACAAAAACTGAGAGCAAGCTTGAGACCAATATGGGACCGACAGCATCGAGAGTATATCCCACCGAGTAGCCCAAGTACTTGATTCCTTGCACGTTGCGATTGTGCCCGGCCCGATGGTGCAGAGCATTGACTCTAAACGGCTTCACTGTCTCACCCTACGCCGGACCTAAGCACTGTGCCTTTCATCATGCATGCGAAGCCCACGCCCCATATGCAGCCGCTGGCATATGCAGGCCCAATCACGGACTTCTGCACTTTCACCTGCGAGCATTTCATAGTTATTTGGTCGCACAAGACCGTATACGTTGCAGTAGTCTCTAGTATTAGTAGCTATGTAAAGTAACTAGTAATCTCCTGTACATCCTTTGTATATTCTGGTCAAAATTAACCCAGCAAACCCGGAGAGCACAACCGCTCATGTGCCAGGTCGATATGATCCTCTTAGTCCGGGCTGTGGTGTTCCCAGTGTCTCTGCTTGCAGCTTTTGTGGCGTGCCTACAATTACAACTTGCTAGCAGTGCAGCCGAGCCACACCGCGCACCACAGCGATGCTTGAGTACAGCATGAGCAGCACGCCTCAGCCGATTGAGTCCAAGCGCTTCCTGCCAAAGCCGGCTCACTCAAAACATCATGCATTGATAGGTGGGTGCCGGTCCCTTCCATCACTTGTCCTAAATTCGGATCTATGCCTTCCTCTCTGAGCAAAAATACCGCTTCAGATAATGCCTCAGAATGAATCACACTAGACATTGCTTCAGGGACTCCCTTCCCTCTGCTTCCAAGGCTCTGGAGCATGCCCATATTCCGAAGCATTGTGGCCTGGAGTCAGCTCGCAGCTGTAACATCCTACGGCTGGAGGCTTTGAGGGTGCAGACGGATGAACCAGTCACCCTCCAACTTCTGCTGAAACTGCACGTCTTCACACATATAGTGCTGGCAAGGTGCAAGGCAACTGCGAAGGCATGCACGTCGGGATGTTCTTTTTCCTTGCAAAGGCGTAGCACTGGACCGCAAGACCCTGCAAATCATGCTACCATCAATATGCCTGCTACCAGGGATCCCAAAGTGTAGCAGGGACACCTTGAACTCCACAGAGGCCCCCCGCTACCACAGCCAGTAAGACGCCAACCACTTTCCGTGCTCCTCTTGCAGTGTGTGATGTAGCTGCTCAGTCGGATTCACACGAACTCTCTGAAGACCGATCTTGCTGCAACGGCAACGGGTCCTGGGCCAAGCGTGTCTAAGGAGGACTTGCGTCGGTTTGGGTCCCTCTGGTCAACCTGCGGGATGAACGGCCCTTGGCCTACGCACTCTGCGAAGCTGCATGAAACGGCTCCGATGTAAGGGAGCAGACTTTCGGTGTGGCTGCATCCAGATCATCATAATATTAGTGTTATCATCATGTTGATGCTTATGATTATGAATTTTGTTATAACTGCTAGTATTCCTGTTATTACTCGTTTATTACTACAATTATTACTATTACTACTAGTGCTATCATTACTATCATTACTAGTAGCACTCTCTTCTTGCTATGATTACTATTATTAATAGTTTTACGATTACTTTTGCCATTAGTATCGTTATTACTATTATTACTACTATTTCTGTTCACTATCATTCATTATTGCTGTTAATGATGTACTGACCCCGGTGTAACTGCTGCAAGCAGGACCATGGCCTTCCTCGCGGCCAGTTGGCGGTTGGAGGGGGCCTCCGGGCACTGAAAACCGAAAGAGTGCCGTTCATATTAGGGCCTGGGGTTTAGGGTTTTAGGATTTATGCCTTGATTCGTTGCAGCAAAGACGCGCCGAAGACTGAGAAACCGCCCACGGACATAAAGTTCATGTCGCACTCTGCAGCGGTCATCCCCTCACCTCTGCTAGTGCTAGCTTCTGCATGCTCTGACCATAATCCGGCCTAGCTTGTCAAGAACCCCAACCAGAATCAAGAGTTTCGTCATCAGGTTCCTACATGGGTAGTTCTCTGAATTAGGGTCCGATTTAGTGTCCTTTTTATTAAGGGTGGTACTATGTTGGGGACCTAAGTGGGGACCCTAATCTAGAGCACTACCCATATGAGGATGTCATGTCAGATTTTGTCGATGCTGAGCTCAGCACCCACCAAATTGTCGGTCGAGGAAGCTCTGCCTTGGATGGATCAAACTCTGAGCACCGAGCACCTCCACGGTGGTCCAAAACCTAAACTCTGAACAGAACCCGAAAGCGTTTTCAAAAAAAATCAGATTGCCGACAAGCAAGGAAAAATCGCTCAAACCTGAAAGTCCCAAACCCGGGCACTCTAAACCCGAAATGCACACGAACCCTCCCCGTCTTCTTGGTCCCACTGCTCTCGTCGCTTTCCTCGGAGTCCTCGGAGTCCTCGTCATCACCATGGCCCGCCTGCGCAAGTCTCTTCCAAAAAGCTTCAAAAAGGCACGAACCGTGGGAAAAGATATGGCAACAATAAGCCTGAGAAGAAGGATAATGACGGTAATTATGATAAGGGTAATCATATTGATGGTACGAATAATGGTCGTGCTAATCAGAAAGAACAACTTTACAACGACGAAGAGGAAGTGACCTATGCGCTGGTTCGAGAGCAGTGCTCCCAAGCGAGCGTGTGCCGTCCTGCTGCATGGCAGGCTGCGGCTCCGAGCTGCCGTTCAAGCATTGAGGCGAGCTGAACTAGTGACGAGTGATCACGGTGATGATGGTCGAGACGACGGAATGCTGGAGCAGATCCCGATTCTTGTATTGACAACTACTCACTGCTGGTTCAGAACCGACTGCCCGTTTTCCCTGAGACCAAATCCCGCCTCGACAAACACCATGATGAAGAAGGACATCAGAATCAAGAGGCAGCCACCATCGCCTGGACTGCTCACTCTCTGAGACAGCGGGCTCCCGAAAATGGAACACATACTAAGCTGCCGTGTTTTTGTGTCCCCTACCTGACAGCATGATAAGAGTCTCAGACCTATTCCAAAAAGTCAAACTGTGCCCCTGCAGCTTCGTGCGGTTCGGGCGCAGTAGACCAGTTCCCCTGTTAGCGGGGTCACGCCGAAGAGGCCGAACCGGCCGATGCAGTATCCAACCATCAAGTTCCTTAGATGTCTCTCTCGAGGGTTCGCTTCCCTTCGAAGAGGCTCGCGGAGATTTGACGTGCTGTAGTCTTGTGAGACTGGATACGGGCAGTCTTTTGCCTTGGCACTAAGACGGAAGATATATGTATGTATCTATCTATCTATCTATCTATCTATCTATCTATCTATCGCTCTATCTATCTATGTACGTATGTATGTATGGATGGATGGATGGGTGTGTGTGTGTGTAGATGTATGTGTGTGTGTGTGTAGATGTATGTGCGTGTGTGTATGTATGCATGCATGCATGCATGTATGTATGTGTGTGTATATATGTCTGTATGTACGTATGTATGTATGTATGTATGTATGTATGGATGGATGGATGGATGGGTGTGTGTGTGTAGATGTATGTGTGTGTGTGTGTAGATGTATGTGTGTGTGTGTGTATGTATGCATGCATGCATGTATGTGTGTATATATGTCTGTATGTATGTACGTATGTATGTATGTATGTATGTATGTGTACGTACGTACGTACGAAGGTAGGTAGGTAAGTAGGTAGGTAGGTACGTAGGTAGGTAGGTAGGTAGGCAGGCAGGCAGGCAGGCAGGCAGGTAGGTAGGTAGGTATGTGTATATATGTATTTTTGATTTTATATTAGTACACGTGTATAATTATTTGTCTAATGTATATTCTTATACAGGTTAACCTACGTTGATAGAGTAATACTGTAATACAAGTACATCAATATATTGCATATGGTATTCAAAGCTGGGGCACACGAAGTGGTAGAGTGAGAATCCCAGGCCGATCCCGAGCAGCTTCACCAGTGGCAGTACGAAGTAGTTGGACATCGCCCAAAGAGCCTCGGACCGCAGAGGCTTCGAATTCAGGGTTTATGAAGGTTCATCTTTCTATATCTTACTTCTCATAGGTAAGGTCTGCTTCCGGAGCACTTTCGGACGAAGTTTCCGTATGTTATATTCAAAGGTGACAAGCCCTAACACCCCAACAACCTCCCGAAGCCGAAGCCTTAAACCACAACCCGGAAGTTCAGCCCTCAGACCACTAGCCGAAACATGTGCTAACTGAGCCCTCCGGCCCCGCCAAAGACGACCAAGGGTGGCAGTCCGCGGTCCTTGCGATTCTTGAACAGTCATATCGGGGTCTGTCCTCTTTGGGGGTAGTGGGTCGAATATCGGCAGCTGGAAGCCTCTTTGGCGACCTTGCCTCGGGATGAGGGAAGTCTTGAGCTTTCATGAGGCTCTTCGGCTACTGGGGCTGCAGCTCGATGGGATCAGGGGCCACCACAAGCAGTTACGGGCTTTGCCCGAGATGCCCCTGCATGCGTAGTCACACTTGCATGGAGGTGAGCTAAACATGAGAATAGAATTTGATAGCAGTAGCTTGCAGCATGTTGCAGAGATACTCTGGCTTTGGCTGGCAATACAGATTAACGGATGGAGGGAATGAAGGTTCCGGCTGCCAGTTCAGATTGCAAGCTGGTCCAGCTCGCCAGCAGCGATAGCGATGACGAAGCCAACCATGAGGATGCCGTTGCACATGAACCACTGGAAGGCCGTCCCTTCCTGGGTTTGGACTGAGGGTTTAGGGTCGAAGCCTTGACACCCTGCACAGTGCAAGGTATGCGTCGAGGCACTAGTGGCTACAGCAGTTTGAATCGAAGACGGCAGAGGATATTGAAGCTGAGGCTGGTTCGAGGCCCTCTGTCTGTGGGGCCGACCCGTGAAAGCACGACAGCTGAGCTCCGGTCAAAGATCTCGTACTTCTTGACCTCGGATTCAGGAGGGGTTTGGGGCTTCGGGACGTCCCTTAAACAGCCATGGCCTACAAGAATCCCTCTATGGGCGCTACAAAAAGTAGGAACCCTAAGTAGGCCACGGGAAGCTCGAAGTAGGGTTAAGGAGAAGATGAAGGGCCAATCCGTCCTGACACACACCGCCCACCGGAAGCCGGAAGGCTCCCACAGCTTTCAGAGCCCCAAGAAACGGTTCTTCAAAGGAAAGGCCCCTTTCTGTAAATTCTCATCAGAACAAATACCTTAACGACCAGACTGGTCACCTTGAAGACCCCCAAATGGAGACCGAGTTGCCCCCTCTTGAGATTAATCCCCCTGAGAATCGCGAGATGTATATCCTCGACCCTGATCCCTAAACCCCAAAACCCAAAGTTGCCCTAAACCGCCAAAGGCTGTAAGAATTGAGGCAAAGAGTGGCCGGTACATACTGGATGCCGAAGGCGATGGCCGCAATCAGTGCAAATAGAAGGCCCAGGGCACTGTCGCTAGCCATGGCGCAGGGAGGAGAGGGAGTAGAAGCTTTACGCGTGAGGGTGTTGGGGGGGGGGGGTTATATACGGTTTATGGTTTATGGTTTACGGTTGAGGACATGTGGAGTAGGGCAGCAGGGCATACAGCTGCATGTTTGTGCTGGTCGTTCTTTGATTTTTGTTGTAATTGCTCCACTCGCGTATGTTGCAGCTGTAACTAGGCACGATCCCTATCGCGTATCATGCTGTGTCTGGCACTCCGGTCTAAGCAGCTCAGACTCAGTGGGGAATGCCGGTGTCAAAGTGCGCTTGCCCTCTACCACTCAAGCCACGCGGCTGCAAGTTGGGACAGTTGGACTCAGTTGGACCACCTTGAAATGAGAGTCAAGGTCCGGAGCGCCCCAAAGCCCTGATGGCATCGCCTAAAGCACTTCTCTCGTTTAGTTCCATGACCTTGGATAACTCAGGCGCCCACGGGTGCTGCTGGCGTAGTGGTGACTTGGCAAGCTCCTGCTTGGGGGAAATCGGCCTAAGTTCACAGTCTTTCCGTGCCTCAAATTTGGGTACATGCGGAGCTGCCCAAAAGGGCAGCAGAGGCGCGGAGTCCTCTGGAGCATGGCAAAGATGAGGACACGCCTTGGTACATGAGAACTGGCCACAGGTTTCAAAGGATTTCACTTCGTACACATGACCACACACGTCCATGGACCATACTCCGGTTAGCAATCGATGGCGGATGTGAGCCCGAGACACGAACGGAACCCGAGCAAAATGACTGCTTCCAGCTCAAGTCAACTACAATCTCGAACAAACCGCAAGAGCTAAACAGTCCAAATCTTTCATGTCATCTCATCCAACCTGCTGCTTGGACAAAACCTGCACCCTCGAGTTCTCTGGCTGCTGCCGGTGACGCGGTCGGCCAACGAGGAAACCGGTGCGGCTGCCCCTGCCAAAAGCCATGACGACTCTGCGGTGGAAGCACACGTTCAGGCCTTTCCCTTCAACCTTACGGAGCATGTCGCAACTTCGGACTCCACACACCAAACCACCATTCGGTTGGTGAAGCGCGTCAATCTCCACAAGAACCCTATCCTAGACCCTAGGCTGCAACTTCGCAAACAGCTTGCATGCCTTTCTACAAGTACCCGCTTCTTGCGGAATTGTTGCTTCCTTTGGACGCTGATAGACAATAACCTGAGGTGCCTTTCAGAGCCTTCGCCATACCCCACAAGACATTCTCAAAAGCACAAGCCTGGAAAATATTGGAAAGGATGACCACCATTTTGTGATCAGGGGCTCCGCTCCCCCCGCCCCCTTCCCACCCGCCCCCATGGTCCATGGTCGAGGATGCCCCCCCGTGGGGGGGGGGGGGTCCCTCTTCGGTTGCGGCGTTGTGGGGTTATTGTTTAGCTTAAGCTTTTGAGTCTGGGGTTTAAGGTTTAGGGTTAGAAGGTATAAGGCTTCGAGTCGACAAGGGCTTAGGGAGGGTTTGGGGTGTAGGTTGGTTAGGGTTGACCGTTATGTTCTGCTTCCGGCTCGGGGTTGGGTGTAGGGTTTAAAGTACAGATTAAAGTTAATAAATAGAGGAACACGCCCTACGTTATAGGGCTTATGGCTTGCGTAGGGCTTGCGTAAGATCGCGGCCCTTTCTTGTGAAAAATGCCGCCCCCCAGCAGTCCCCCACCCTCCAGCTGCAGGTGGCTTGGACTCTTCTGGCCCATGTGACACGTCGAGGGTGCCGGGAACGCCAGACGCCTGACCATATAGACCCAAGATTCAACCAAAGAAATGCTGAATAAGAGACCCCCAGTTTTCTGAAAGCCTCATCCCAAGTTGCTGCCTGGCCATTCCGGGAGAGTTGCGGGCAGAGAGCGCAGCTCCGAGGGCGTCGTGGGGCGCAGCTTCCCGCAACTTCCACAGAACAGGGCCCCCTCCGGCTCGTACCTGGGATGACTTTTGAGGTACTTTGCCGTGTGATGATTGGCACTGTTACCACTTGTAGTGGCATGGCTAGGTCATAGTAGTTCTCACATCGTCGGAGCACATCGGGAGCTGGAGCATGTTTGCGTGCGGTACTCATGAAAACATGCAGAATCATACGCTAAACTGACAAGCAGACAGCATGCATCTCAAGAGCCACAAGCACGAACGGGCATGTCGCTCACTGCCTAAGGTGGTAACAAACATGAGCTCGTTTGGCAGACTGGAACCTTCATGAAGGGTCTGCCTCCTGCAGAAACATACTGAGGCTTCTGCGGGGTGCCGCAATAAGGACAATTAGGCGAGGCAGCCGGCAGCGGCTCTGCCTGATTCTCAGGCACGGAAAGTAGTCGAAGCAGAAATAGTCACGAGTTACGAGATAAGCGAATGTCAACATGCAATGTCCCAACCGGTACTCCTTGGGAATTTCTGCCCGGAACGAATATCTTCCTTGAAGGATTCTTGCCGGAACGTATATCTATTTCTCCTCACCACTATGCGATTTTGTAGTTGCGATGGGCCGTTTGAGAGATAACAGTGGCAATGCCAAGACACATCAGGGAGGTCGCAAACCCTATTGAATCACAGACATTGGGCCAGCGCTCACATCATTCCTTTACAGAAACATCACCAAACTCAATTTGCTCTCCAAAAGCTGCGATTTGGCTTCCGGGCTCCTGACCACGGGAGCTTGCGGCTGGCTTCTAACTGGCCAAGGCGACACCGGAAGGCCTGCACGGCATAAACTTGTTTGGGGCTTGAGACGGTTAGGGTCCAGGATGGTTTAGGCTTTCCCACTGAAGCTTCCCAACTGGTGCGAAGCTCTGCGTGTTTGCTGCGTGCAGCAGGTGGGGTCCGATCGTCGGTCGCCAGAAAATAATGCACAGAAGACCAACTCGCCTGTGGATGCCAGCGACGGCGCTTTGCCTGACAACGGATGGAACAAAAGCTTACTTGGTTGTTGAAGACGAAGACGACCGAGAGTAAGAATAAGAACAACGAGACAACACTAATGCAGAAAGAATGCAGCAGAAATGAGAAGAAGATGAACCACAGTTGTCAAGTGATTGCTTTACGCCGAATTGTCAGCAGGTGCTTGACAACACTGGGGCCGGCTAACATCTGCAAGGATGGGAGAGAATGCATTTGCCCGATTTCTTCGGCCCACGCCGTCTGGAACAGGCCAGTGATGCTCATCACTCCCGACCGTCTCGCAGAATGGATCGTCCGTCAGACCACAAAACCGTAAGCCCTAAGCCAAACCTAAATTTCCAGAAGCCCACTACGGCACCCCCGACTCAGAGCTCGTGCCTGCATCCGGCACGATGGGCTCTGCCGGGGCCGAAGGTGGAGCTGGGTCGCAGAGGTTCGGTTTGGCTGGGTTTCAGTGTAAGGAATCTAACTATATACGACGCAACTTTTTGCATGGAATTCAGAACATAACGTAAAGACGCGATGTTGTTGGCAACAGTGGTGGTGATTCAAGCAAAGCGTTGGAAACCGGAAACAGCAAAAGGAGTGGAAATGAACAGGGGACCAGCAACAATGTAACAGGAACAGCAATAGCAATGAACCAGCGAGCGAGACAAGAAGTCACATCCTGCCTATCCACCTCCCGACCTACCTAAATGTCTCCCTCCTGCCTGCCTCCCTGCCTGCCCGTGCCTGCCTGCCTGCCTGCATACATATATACATACATGCATGCATGCACACATATACATGCATGCCTGCAGACGAACATACATTGCTATTTGTCCCCGTACACAGACATACCGAACAGCATGGAAACGGTGTGTTGCGTGCGACAGCATGCAGTGTACAAATCGACATGCACATGATGATTCACCTGCGGGCGTTGTTGCAATACCTTACAGAGGTGCCATGGAGACATTTGGCAGAATCCGATGGCAGGAAACTGTCTCGTGCAATCGAGAAGTATCTATAAGTTTTTTCTTAGAAACTCAAACTTCGATGGCATCCGGAATTTCAGAGAAAACTGACGAAGAATCCCCGAGCAACCTTAGAGGGAAAAAGTCAGGGTTCTGCGGTTTTTGATAACCAGTTCTTTCGTTTGAAGAGTACCCTCTTTAAAAGGCACGACACGGAATTGTAAGAATCTAAGTATCGAACGACTTCCACTGCTATACCTCTGTTAGCAGTTTCTCACCAAAGATGCTACTATGTGATACCACCGAAAACGCCGGCTGGGGGCATGCCTGTGTCCACGAACACTCGTACCATGATACGTTCATGCGTAGGAGGGATGGAGGGAGCTCCATCGTCCTGGGCCTCAGGCCTTTTGCATCCGCGGAATCTAACCGGGTCGAGGGTTCTTCTGTTGGTTCCGGTTTTGGGTTTTGGTAAGAGTCGTGGTTAAACTCCTGGCAGTCCGAGCATAGCTCCAATACCCCAAAAACTGCTTCATGCGTGAAACTCCTCTCAAAGTCCCCGGAGCAACAGCAGCTTCCATCTGTTCCCAAACTGAAACACAACTGATCGACTGCAGTGGGCCTAGTGCCCCGGGCACCGATGGCAGCTCTGGGGCAGGGTAGCCTCGCATCTCGGAATCTTGGAGGTAGGGTAATTAGCGTAAACCGGGCAAAAGAGGCCCAAAACCGGCTTCCGCTGAAAAGTCTTGCTTGTAGTGCCCGATGTTTATGGACGTGCCGTGCCTGGGCCCTGTCCATGCGACAGCTGCCCTGCTCCTGGAAGTGTAGGGTTTAGGGCGGGAATTCTTTTCAAGTGCAGTAACCCCTCTCCATGCGCGCATAGGTCAGCGGGCCCACCCTTTCAGGATCTGCACATAAAACGCGAACTACCCGAAGATGTTGTCATCAGTGACTTGGGTGGGGTTTAGGGTCTTCCAAATCTCTCTGAAAGTCTACGATTAAATCCTAGTCTGGGTTGAGCCTTTGGTGTTTGGGGTTTCGGGTCTGGCCACCGTTTTGAACGTATAACCTGTCGCGATGCCCGGTCCCTCTTAAGTCTTAAGCTGCGGATGTTGCGGACTCCTGGGAAACAGAACTAAGAATCAGGACACAAT